AAGAGAAGATAGTTTCTATACCATCTTTCTTTGTAGTGATACATCAACTTTCTTTTATACACATTCCCCAAGTCTTTCCTAACTAGCCTGGTCATTTTAGGAAGACCCTGAGTCAAAGGCATCTGAATAAAGTGAGTGCATTCTATTACCTGCTTCATTCCTCTTCAAGTGGTCAATTTCCCCATGTTTTCTTTCTGTCCAAGACATCCCTCTTCCTGTTACTCTCTACACCTAATAAAACCCAAACTCCTATCAGCATTTTCCACACCTGGTCCATCCTAATACTCAGATTAATATCACATTCTACATCTTTTCCGCTCATAGCTGGTTTATTTATTCTTACTCTGCCTGGTCTCCCTGCAGCCTTTGTAACCCTCTATTCATAGTTGATTCTTTCCTTCACCTAATCTTTCATTGGATCTGTTGTCTATATAGAAAATTTATCCTACCCAAACATCATCTATCTTATCTACAGAAGTTCTAAACTTTTGCACTTAATCTAACTTCTTCATGTTTTACCCTGTCCCTGAAGATTTACTCACTCCTCTATAGGTTGTTTTCCTTACATATTATTCCAACTCTGTCAAATTTTCTGGTAATTCATTTAAATTCTCTACTCTGGATCATTTCCAACCAACTCCTTTTTACATTCTGCCTTCTTTATATGCCATTCCTATCATCTGTATCTAATCAGTTCTGCCCATCTCATACCTTTCTCCATTTTCCCATCCATCCATACAACCATTATAATACCTTTACTAATCAGTTACTAAAGCAGAACTTGTAACAAGAACTATTGTCAGAAGGAGAGACAGAAGTATCAGTAAATAATCTGCATCTAGAAATATGGGTAGATTTGGAGCATGATAACTAGCAAACTGAAACATGATAAACAAAATCTGTTTTTGACAGAAAGACTATGTGCAAATCACAGAGTTAGAGAACATCATAAAATATTTAGAAAAATGGAAATAGTAGGCAATGACTGGATTATTGTAGCACAGTTAAGAAATATATTTGGGGGGATTTAGTATGTATTTCTCCAAAATTGGATGTATTTAGGGTCAGTGATATGGGTAGATTTCTATGTAAAATTTCACTCTAGACAAAAATGGCAGTTAGATTGATGAGGGCTGAGGTTGAAGGAAGAAAGACAATGTAATAGGCTATTGAAATGGCTAAATTAAGAAATAACAAGGACCTGGTAGACATAAGGGACTAGGGGGAAGGCAGTAGAAATAGGACAGGAGAAAGGAACAGAGATGAGAGATAATTAAAGAGGAAGCTGAGATAGAACTTGGATTAGTTGTGGGTGAGATGTGGGTTTGGGTAGGAAGAATAGGTATGGAAGACAGGAAATTTTCAGATCTCTGGTATAGGTGACTGCATGGAAACTAATGTTATTGATTGCAATAAAGGAATAACAGGCTTAGGAAATATTTTTCTAGACATTTTGTATTTGAGGGACTCGTGTGACATCAAGAGAATTATGTCCCCTCCTTGTTATACCATTAAGGACATATACGGCACTTTGGCATAAAGTTCCTCCTTTACATCCACCTAAGTAATAGCAGCGTGATATAGCTAGTAAAATAATACCTGGGCTTTCACAGGCTCCAGTGGAAACAGTAATGAGAGGAACTTCATCAAACCAGTGTCAGGAAAAGGAAAGAAAGAAGGACAGTTAATGTCTCTATGTGGAGATGCCACACAAGCCAAGATCTGAAGGTTAATTAGGAGTAAGCTACCCTCATGGAGATTGCAGCATGAGCAAAGGTACAGAGGTGATAAGCATGTTGTATGCCAAGAGTTGCAAGGTATAAAATACAATGTATGCTTTGGCAAGAAATAAGGTTTTGGTAGTAGTACTGGCATATCATGAAGTACTTCTATGCCCTATTAAATAGCTTGGACATTATTGTGTAGGCAGTGGGGTATTATGGAAGGATTTTAAGTAGGAAGTGAAATGGTCAGATTTGAGCTTCAGGGAGAGACTATAGGCAGTGAAACCAATTAGGAGTCCACATGTGAGAGGCTAATTTTTCTTTCTTTTTCTTTTCTTTAGCATGCAGAGCATCAAACATGATAGAGAAAATTAAAGGATAAGCAAAAGGTCTGAGGCCAAGAGGGTCAAATGCACAATAAATGGTATATGAGGCAGTTACTGAGGAGAAAGAATCAAGGGTAAGGATACGAATGATAAGTGTAATTTTAAGGTTCCCTTTTATGAAGCTGGTATGTAGTATAGGGGTAGGCATAGCAGTTTAAACTTTCAGGGATGAGAAGATGAAGATATGTCCCTACCACTAGATTATAAACTATTTAAAGACTTATTATCTTATTTACTTTTTATGTATCAAATCTCTGAATCTGTGGCCTGGAGCATAGTTGATCCACCATGAATTTTGAAATAAATAAAACTTTGCGTGTGGATGTTAAGGAAGGGAGTGATGAGAAATGCAAGCCAGGGATATGGGCATTTTGTAATTGCATTAAAGTACTTTAGTACTGAGAGAAATGTAAGGGGCTCAAGTACTTAGTAATGGTCAAGTACTGATGGCAAAGCATAAAGAGAAGAAAAACTCAGGTATAAAATCATTAGCAAATTCAATATTTTTAGATTCCATACATAAGTGAGACATGCAGTATTTGTCTTTTTCTGTCTTGCTTATTTCACCTCTCATAATGCCCTCAAGGTCCATCCATATTGTCACAAATGTCAGGATTTCCTTCTTTTTTATGACTAAATAATATTGCATTATATATAAATATATATATGTATATGTATGTTATATACATACATATCACATTTTGCATGTATATTATATACAAGTATGTACATATATACATATATATCACAATATACATGTATATTATATACATATACATATATATATCATTTCTTTATCCATTCATCCATTGATAGTCACTTAGATTGTTTCTGTATCTTGGCTATTCATAGAAACAAAGCCCTGGGTATTATACTCAACTAATGAATCAAACACTACATCAAAAACTAATGATGTATTATATGTTGGCTAATTGAACATAATAAAAAAAAAGAAACAGAGAATAGAGTTATAATGGTGGTTGCCAGGGGCTGGGGAGTGGAGGAAATGGGGAGATGTTGGTCAATGGGTACAAAATTTCAGTTATAAGATGAATAAGTTCTGGGGATTTAGTATATAGCATGGCGACTCTAATTAACAATACTGTATTGTTCGCTTGAAGGTTGCTATGAGAGTACAGCTTTAGTGTTCTCATCATAACAGCAACAAAATTATAATCGTGTGAGGTAAATATTACGGTAAACATTTCACAATATATACTTGTATCAAATTGTCACATAGTATACCTTATATGTTATATGTCAATTATATCTCAATAAAGCTAGAAAAAATCATTATCAAGTTGAAGTTTGGTATGTGAGCACATTCTGCCCCTGCTAACCTCAAAAGAACAGGCCTCAGACTAAAAAGTAAGGAAACTCCTGAGGGGAAATAGCACCCTGGTGTTAAGCTGATTCTCCCCTATTCTCCTTTCTAATCTCCGTACTGCCTTCCAGTGCTATGACCATATAGAGACACTAGGGAGACAGTAACCCTTTCTTCACACCAACTTCCATGTGAATATGTCCACTTCTGTTTCACATCAAATTCAGAAGAGGCTTGAAGTTTTGAAAGGGCAAATTTTATTTTCAATACCAAGATAAACAAAGAGAGTCCTCTACTTCAGGTATGCTTTTATACTGGTCTTGTTCCTGGTAAAATATTTTTAAAAAGGAAGCCATTAGATTGAGATGGCTCTCATGCCTTGGTTGCCTGCTTAAGAAAACCAAAACTTAAGCTAGAGTCAATTGTAAATGTGCTCATAACCAAGAAAACAAAATTTAAGAATAACCAATCACAAACACCCAGTGAGACTTTCCCAAATAAGGCAACCACTTAAACTGTAGCCAATCAAATAATGCCCTTGCTTTGCTTTTGAGTCTGCTCTATAAAAGCCTTTCCACTAGCTTCCGTCTGTAAAGCACACTTTACCACTTTCAGTTTGGTGCTGCCCATTTTAAATCAATTTTGCTCAAATAAACTCTTAAAAATTTTAATATGCCTCAGTTTAATTTTTAACAATGCTAAAGGAAGGTGTTCTACTCTCATTCCAAGGGAGCACAACTTTTAGAACTAATGGGATTCTCAGTTCTTCTACCATCTAGAATCCACTTCCTAATATAATTTCTAGGTGGGTCCCAAGTCCTCCTCTTAAGTGCTAGGTTATGTAGAACTCTCTTTCTATAGATGCTGTGACTTTCTTGGGTTCTACTTTGTTCCCTCTTTCTTGTAGTATGGAGTCACTTCTGTAGCTGGGCTCTAAAGATTCTCTCCCCTAGATGTAAATCCAGGATGTATCTTACAGCCCCTTCTTTGTGTTACCTGAATATTTTTGAAGCTCTGAGGTCCTGACTTCCTGGTTCCATCTCTTACTATCCGTGTGACCTGGAACAAGTTACTTAATCTCTTTATGCCTCAGTTTTCTTAGGTGTTAAGTGGGGTTAATAATAGTATGAACTCACAGCGTTCTTCGGAAGATTAAATGTATTAATATCTGCAAGTATTTTAAAACAGTGCCCACACTATCAATGCATAGTAAGTACTTAATTGTGTTATACATTATTGTTATTCCTCCACTATGTAACGTATTTCCTCAAAACAGAGTCACAATCTAGCTCACAAACAAACTCTTACTTTAGGGCAGCCGAGACTCTCTTACTATTTGTAGTTTTGATCTATATTCTTCAGGGACCAACTAGTAATCACTTTATCGGTATATGCTTCTCCAAGGGCCATAACAGATTTTTATCCTATCACCAATATGAAACAGTTTATTTTTGTCCACTTTTGTCTTAGCTCATTTCAAGATTACAGAAGAAAGTGATGGCCTCAGTTCAGTGATGAATGACATGCATTACATGCATTCTGTCAATATAAACCCACCAAGAGAAAGGCTGGGTTCTTGCTGTTGGCACCTGAAGATTCTCTGTTCTCTCTCCTGAAGAGCAGTGGGCAACACTGACACCATGGAGCAGAGGAACCAGAGTGGAAGGGTAAGTGAGTTTGTGTTGCTGGGCTTCCCAGCTCCTCCACCAGTGCAGGCACTTTTATTTGCCTTTTCTCTGCTGGCCTATGTGTTGGTGCTAACTGAAAATACACTCATCATTATGGCAATTAGGAACCACCCCACCCTTCACAAACCCATGTACTTCTTTCTGGCTAATATGTCCTTCTTGGAGATCTGGTATGTTACTGTCACTATTCCCAAGATGTTAGCTGGCTTTGTTGGCTCCAAACAGAGCCATGGACAGCTGATCTCCTTTGAGGGCTGCATGACACAGCTCTACTTTTTCCTGGGACTGGGCTGCACTGAGTGTGTCCTTCTGGCTGTTATGGCCTATGACCGCTATGTGGCCATCGGCCACCCTCTCCACTACACTGTCATTGTCAGTGGCCGACTGTATGTGCAGGTGGCAGCTGGCTCCTGGGCTGGAGGTTTTAGCATCTCCATGGTCAAGGTTTTTCTCATTTCTCACCTCTCCTACTGTGGACCCAACATCATCAACCACTTTTTCTGTGATGTCTCCCCATTGCTCAATCTTTCATGCACTGACATGTCAACAGCAGAGCTTACAGACTTTGTTCTGGCCATTTTTATCCTGCTGGGGCCCCTCTCTGTCACTGGGGCCTCCTACATGGCCATCACTTGTGCTCTGGTGCGCATTCCTTCAGCTGCTGGGCGCCGTAAAGCCTTTTCCACCTGTGCCTCTCACCTCACTGTTGTGATCATCTTCTATGCTGCCGTATCTTCATCTATGCCCGGCCAAAGGCACTCTCAACTTTTGACACCAACAAGCTGGTTTCTGTACTCTATGCTGTCATTGTACCATTGCTTAACCCTATCATTTACTGCTTGCGCAATCAAGAGGTCAAGAGAGCCCTACGCCATACTCTGCACCTATTCCAGGGCCAGGATGCTAAGCATGGGAAAGCTAGCAGACATAGGTAGAAAATGCTCTTAAACTTGGGATCTATATCTTTTAAGTCCAGAGAAGTTCTTATGGCCTAAATTAGGGACTAGGGTTCAAAAGCACTATCAAGGAACTAATCCAGGAGAAAGAAGAGGGATGGATTGCAAGCTGGCAGCTGGATTTCTGGACAACATTGTAAATACATGCTAGAAGTTCTCATGTCATCTGCTCTAGTGTAATTTACATAGAACAGATTCGTCTATCATGCAATCTGGTGGTGCAGAAAGGATTGAGCAGAAGGCTGATTGCACTTCAATATTAAAATAAGCAAACAAATGCAGAACTAGTATCTCTCTAAATGGCCTTTCCTGCATTTGCTCTTTGTTTTAGTTCTGAGGCTGAAAGTGTAGAAAAGGAAAGCAGAAGGAGGAAGCCATTCAAGGAAGCACAGACTTCATTATGGGATAGCATTAGAAGACTTCTGGTGAGATCTCTTCTAGCCACAAGCCACTGATTGTAGCCTATGAGGTAGCAGGGCCCCAGATGATTATTCTAGTATGAATTACAAGGCAAGCAGATAGGAAACAGAATTTTTGTGTAGGCAATATATCACCTCCTGGACTACAGAGATTTCTAGCTTCATTTCCTGATTTACCCACATGAAGCTAGTGACTGAGTACAGTTGTTTATTTAATCTTCTGTCTCCATAATTAAGGAATTATTATCCCATAAACTTATAGTTTATATATTAAATGGAATCCTATGTAGGTCTTAAAATAACATGATCTACACAGAGCTAATGACAGAAATAAATATTCCTAACATAATAAATGCAAATATTAGGTTATGTAACAACATCAAAAGTATCAGGCTTACAAATGGATAAGGAAGATGTGATATAGATTTATAGACACACACACACACACACACACACACTGAAATATTATTCAGCTGTAGAGAAGGATGAGATGTACCATTTGCAACAATATAGATGGACCTAGAGAGCATTACACTAAGTGAAATAAGTCAGATTAAGGAAGAAAAATACCATATGATTTCACTCATAAGTGGAATCTAAAAAACCAAATGAATAAACAAACAAAAAACAGAATTAGACCTATAAGTACAGAGAACAAATTGATGGTTGCCAAAGGGGAAGAAGGTATAGGATGGACAAAATGGGTGAAGAGGAGTGGGAGATACAGGCTTTCAGTTATGGAATGAATAAGTCATGGGAATAAGAAACACAGCAAAAGGAATACAGTTGATGATATTATAATAGTAATGTAGTGAGACTGATGGTAGCTACACTTGTGGTGAATGAAGCACAACATATAGAGAAGTCGAATTACCGTGTCGTACATCTGAAACTAATGTACCATTGTATGTCACCTGTACTCAAGTTTTTAAAATTAATTTAAGGGGCGCCTGGGTGCCTCAGTCAGTTAAGCATCTGCCTTCAACTCAGGTCATGATCTCAGGGTCCTGGGATAGAGCCCTGCCTTGGGCTCCCTGCTCAGTGGGGAGTCTGCTTCTCCTTCTGCCCCTCCCCCTGCTTGTGTTCTCTCTTTCTTTCTCTCTCTCTAGTGAGCTCTCTCTCAAATAAATAAATAAAATCTTTAAAAAATAAAAAAAATAAAATAAAATTAATTTTAAAAAGCTAATGACAGGGGCACCTGGGTGGCTCAGTCCTTTAAGCATCTGCCTTCGGCTCAGGTCATGATTACAGGGTCCTGGGATCCAGCCCTGCATCAGGCTCCCTGCTTAGCAGGGAGCCTGCTTCTCCCTCTCCCTGCTGCTCCCTGTGCTTGTGTTCTCTCTGTCAAATAAATAAATAAAATCTTAAAAAAAAAAAAAAAGCTTATGACAGCCCAGCATAAAACCAAGCATAGGCTTTCAAAAAAAATTCTTTTTAAGTAGGCTCCATGCCTAGCGTCTTCTGGCTTGAACTCATGACCCTGAGGTCATGACCTGAGCTTAGATCAAGAGTTGTACACATAACCAACTGAGCCACCAAGGCACCCCAAAGCATAGGCTTTTCTGAGCAAAGAATATTGTGAGATAGCATGGATGTTATATCATTGAAGCAGACGCTGGTTCTACCTGCAAAAACATATCTAAAATCTGACCATCTCAAAAAAAGAAAAAATATCAGTCTTATTTATTTGTTTAAATTAGACTAGAAGGAAATTAACTGAAATGTTAGCTGTATCTATGCAACGTAGACCTTACTCTTATAAACTGAAATCTGTGGCAAAGGTATTGTTACCAACATATTTATTTAAATAAGCATTTCTTACCCAATAAAATACGCAACTTTATTCATCTGGACAGAGAAATGGTGACAGGGTATCTCAGTATGATTTTTAGAAATTTAGCTCTCTACAATTACCCAAGACCCAGAACTGAGGGCAACACCTGACATTAAGCTTCTGTCTCCAGATGTGGGAAGCTTTTGTTGTTGCAGCCTGTCTTCCCATAGTTTTCTGCTGCTTAATAAAGTATGAAAGGCTACTAGCAAGGAAATCAAGCATTATTTGCTAGTTGCTACCTATTAAAATTCTAATATAATATTCATATCTTGGGGCACCTGGGTGGCTCAGTTGGTTAAGCGACTGCCTTCGGCTCAGGTCATGATCCTGGAGTCCCGGAATCGAGTCCCACATCGGGCTCTCTGCTCAGCAGGGAGTCTGCTTCTCCCTCTGACCCTCCCCCCTCTCATGCTCTCTATCTCATTCTCTCTCTCAAATAAATAAATAAAATCTTAATATTCAGATCTTTTTGTGCCAAAAGAATTACATAACCTTATAAGTATTTTTATAATTTATGTTTTATATTTTATTATGTTATTATAGTTTATATTATAATGTATATTTATAATGACTAGATAAAAGTTCATCAAAAACACATCTCCCAACTATCTCCACAGAATACATTTCTGGAATGGGGTTACAGTCTGGGATTGGAGTGTCATCCTCTGGGCACCATTGTTGTAGTTATTATATGAACCTCCTTATAGGTTAACTCCAATTAGTAGGAAGTAAAAACATGATGTTGATTTCCTTCATTGTGCTCTTCTTTATTTTCCAACCTTTTTATAGTAAGATGCATTATTTTTTTTGGGTTTTAAAAAACACCTCTAATTCTGAATTCAAAATTTAAAACCAATTATTTCAGGTATAGGAAAAGTGTTTAGCACAGTTTCCTGCATATATTCATTTTTCTATAACAATGAATGAAAAGATGCTTGAGTCCATGTGAATTACAGCAAGATCAAAACTTCTCTTGACTTGGACTGCATTTTCATAGTCGTGTGGTGATCCTAATAGGTCATATTGAATTTGATGTAACAAAACCTAAGATTTTTCAAGTAAACTATTAATTGTTAGAGGAAGTGTCACTCATCCTCCATTGATTAATTAATTCTGCCCGCAACCTACATAGAAGACTTTATTTTATCCCTGTTACATTTGATCTTGTTTGTTTCAGACCGTCTTTATAGTCTGCCATTCTTTAAAAATATTGCACAGGGTGATGGGTATTAAGGAGGGCACATGTGATATGCACTTGGTGTTATATGTAACTAATGAATCACTGAACACTACATCAAAAACTAATGATGTACTATATACTGGCTAACTAAACATAATAATAAAAAATATATATATTGCGTAGATACTGTGACTCTTTTATAATTCTCTTTTGCCAGAGCAGGGTCTGGGGATGTCTCCAGTCTCCTTCATCATTACAAGAGATAAGAGTACTGATCCAGACTGGGTGTTTCAGGTAGGAGAGATACTCAGATTGGCCAGGGGTAACTCACATCTACAGAATAAGTGAGGATCAACATAGAGGGCTTCCATGCTCAAAAATATCTACTGGTTCCCATCAACTTTTATAAACTTCATGTTTCTTAGTCTGCCTTTCAAGTTTCTTCACAATATGGTCTGTTTTCCTTTTGGTCTTTTTTTCCCCCCTTTTGGTCTTTATTTTAATTTCTTGCCTAGTACAACCTTGTACAGATGAATTTTAGATTGTGATTTTTTTTTACTTGAACTTTATAATCAAATCCCTTTATAATTTGCTAACATTTCACATTGAACAAAGTCAGAAAATATCCAAAAACCTTTCTGGAAAAGAGCATTTTAGAAATAACAGTTCTTCTATATCACTGAAAACCCTATTTTGCTTTAAAAACCCTTATAAGTATAAGTAAAGACTGAGAAACTATCAGAGGGGACTTAAGAGACAAAATACTTAAATGGAATGTGATATCTTAGAGTGGATCCTGTGACATAAAAAGGATAAGGAAAAACTGGTAAAATCTGAATAAAACCTGGAGTTTAGTTAACAATAATATACCAGTTTTGGTTTCTTACTTTTGAAAGTGTACAGGGCAATGTACTGTGACAATATTAGGGGAAACTGAGACTGGGGGAGAAGAGTGTGAGAACTCTCTTTACTATCTTTAAAATTTTTCTGTAAAACTAATATGATCCTAAAAATTTTATTTAAAAGAGAAATAAATTATTGGTCTCTTTATACCAAATAATTTAATAGACCTTGATTGATTTCAGTGACTTCATAATACTAAAAGTAAGGTGTCCCTTTTTGCTTATGGCAATATGTACAGCAAATATTTGGCTTCTATGTGCTACGTTGAAAACCTCTTTTTCAAATTTTACTGGATTTTTAAGTCTCATGAAATTCATATATTGATGCTGTTTTATTTTGCTGATTGATAAGAGAGAGTTGGAGTATATTTGACAAATAGTTCTTGCTTTACATTTAGCAACCCTAACAAAACTGTACCCGTTCTTCCAGACAGCACCATTTGGTGCTGGCAAACATGAGTGGACAGTTTCATGCCTGCAGAGAAGAGAAGGCTTATAGGTGTTTTCATTTTCTCTTAGAGTTATTCCTCAGGGGATAATTACCCTCACTGATTTTCATGTTCCATAGTCTCATTTCATGAAGACCCAGTGGTCCCAGCCTTCCCAGAATTAGTGCCAACTCACCACATGCCTTTAGACAAAGAATATGGGAGGGTGGGGAGAGCTAGATCCATCCTTCTCCATAAAATTCCAATTAGTCACACATAGACCTTACA